CTCGACGCGCTCGAGGCGGGCGGGGCAGGATGAGGAGGAGAACAGAGAGGAGGACTCGGGTCACGGGATTCAGCGCCTTTGGGAGCGAGTGATCTGCACATCATCACGGCTATGCAACATCAGACTAAACTCTGATTCAATTCAAGCACACCCTGACGTAAACGAGGAGGGGGAGGAGGAACGAGTGGTCCGTGCAGGCTGACTGCTTGGCAGCCAAGGCCATTTTGGCAGCGGCACCACTGGCCTTCCCCCGCCTCCTTGTCTGCCCCTGGCTTCGGGCCCGTACCCGATCGAAGGCGACCATAGGAGGGGGTGGCTCCCATGATGTTACCTCCCTCACCAGTACCTCGCATATGTACGTTCATATGCATCATTTGGATTGCTCTCCGAACTCGAGACTGCACAGTCCGCCACGCAACGGCGGCAGGCTCCAGAGTTGCAGGCCTAGGCAACGGCTGTTCGAGTCGCCAGCTCTCCAAGATGGCACAAGATAACCCAATAATCCTTATCGTGCTCCTTACCTCGCTCATCTCGCGGCCAAGCTCAACACAAGACAGAAAGAAACACTGTGCCAAAAGCTCGTTTGGTGATTCCTGTCCGCCTCCCCTGTGTTGGCAATTGAGCGTTTGCCCGGGAACCTCCGATTGGACTTCATCAAACTCTCACGAGATCACGCTGGACACTTCAGTCGCACCTGCTGTCCTTGCTGCTCTCCGTGGGGGAGGTGGTGGTGGAGGAGCTCAGGAGGTGCCCGGAGGTGGAACGCTGGGTGGTGGAGGTGCCTTCGTCCGCCACTTCGCACCTCTCCTCCATTCAGGCTCACTGCTGAGCTCGTGGAGTGCTTACCTTGCAGTCCACCTTACGGACCGTCCAAAAGGTAACCTCGAGGTCGCACATGCGCGAAGGCCTGTGAGGCCATTTGCTGACAGGGCGTCCTACTGTTCAGCAGCACTCGCGGCCCTTGCTATCTTCTCGGCGGCGTTGTTGGTGGGGATGCTGTGCATGGGGGAGGCATGTCCTGGTGTTTCTCGGTTGCTGGGCTTCCTCCGCAATCTCATCGCTTCCGCTCGAGCTCACACGTCGCAATGCCCAAATGCTACGTGCTCGAGGCTGCCTTCTCTCCGCCCGCTCTCACGGGCGGTGTGCGACGCTACGAGTGGGAGCTCGCCAGGCAGCATGTCTACGAAAAGGAAGCGGAGGCGGAGGAGGAGGAAGAGAACAAACGCAACGGCCATACAACCAATGCCGGCCTAAAGTAGAGAGGAGGAGCAAAAGGAGGGGGGATCAGGAGGTACGTGAACTCCTCTTCCTCCTCCCCCCTTCCCCCTCCTCGGTACCCCAACGACAACCTTCTCACCGACACATGTACACGTACCTTGACAACTTTGAAAGCGAATACTTCGTCAATCACAACTACCCTTACGTGCTCCCGTCCACCGCTGCGACCCGAATTCCTAGCAATACCACTATCGCACTTCACGATGCCACCAGCAACGCTAACACGACTACTCACTCTGAAGACCGCGACTAAAGCTGGCCAACATCCACCACCACCACCACAACCACGCCTTGCACACGCTCCCAAAATTATCCTTGGAAATTCGGACATACGTGCAAACAACTACAACGCTGACCTCACCTTCCGCGTTGACGTGGCACTAATCAACCAATAAACCCACGACAAACTCACCCACTGCGATGTAACGCCGGCCGCCAGAATCACTACGGCACTTGGAATCCACTTGGAACAATACAATAGTGGCTCCACACCTTCCTGAAACGGAGTCTGGGCAGTGGATCTGCCGAGGGCAGCGACTGCGCTGAAGAGGATCAACGACAACGAAGCAACGTGAACACCACATTCAACACGCATCACATGCAACGCGTCGGCTTCATATTCTGACGTCAGCCACGCGGTCAGCATCACATGAACCTCACAAACACAACACCAAACTGACGGAACCAAGGACGATCGACACGCAAAAATACCCTACGGCTCAAACTACGGAACCGAATGACGTTCTAAAAAGCTCAAAGGCCCGCATTCCACTGCACCCACAGGCCCTCAGCTCAAGATACCTGAAGTATGCCGACCACTGGGTGCATCGACTACCCAAGTCTGTTGGCTCGTCGACATTCCGCCCACACACCGTACATCCCAGGCTCAAGACACCATCAAACCATACTTACACCAACGCACCACAACCAATGGAAGATGGTCACACGGGTCATACACCGATGCCCACAGGTGGCATCACGGCCAGCACGTTCAACGTCAACGACATCGAGGACCCAATGTTGAATGAGCACTTTGAAAAGATTCGAGCACAGCAGCAGCAGTACGGAGAGCACCTACAAGACGCAAGAAGACGTACTGCCAGAGACCAAATGACTCGCAACCATATCCTCGAAAGCGTACCGCCGCGGCACGCGCCACCGACTCCCAAACCGAAATCCCACCAGCCCTCTGGGCGTAGGTGGTTCAGGGCGTTTCCTCTTCCACCCCTCCCTCGTCCCCTTTGGGGAGGGGTTGACCCCTCCCCCTACCTCCTCCCCTGGACCTGGACGGGGCGTTCCGCGAGCGGCCGGGGCTTCTAAAACGGCCTCGGCGAAGGAGCCAACATCACTGGCTTTACTAAGGTTTTGGGCCCATGTTGGCCTCCTGGGGGAAAGCTTATTAGGGACCCCCCCTTTTTTGATCGATCTCCTCCGAGATGGCCCCAAGAGCACCCCCAAGGCTCCCAAGGGTGCCCTAAGAGGTGGCCAGGAGGCCCCATGAGGCCCTCATGAGGCCCCCAGGATGCCCCCAAAAGGCTCTCAAGAGACCCCAAGAGGCCCCAAGAGGCCCCCAGGTGCACCCAAGACGCTCAAAGAGGCCTCGGCGAGAATGCCCAAATCACTAATTTGACCAAGGTTTTGGCAACAGTTTGGCCTCCTGGGGGGGGGCACTGCTTAAGATGACTCCAGGAGCGTCTGGGAGAGCCCAATATGACCTCCAAGATGGCTCGAGATATCCCAATATGCCCCAGTATTGTTCCCACGATACTCCAAAAGGCCCTAAGGCCGCTCCGAGACGGTTCCAAATTGCCAAAGAGCTCCCCGAGGAGGCCCCGAAGACAACAATCCTTCTCAAACCTGACGAATATCAATGTGTGTTGGTTTTCTCGCCTTTTCGCTTCCGATGACCATCCGAAGCCTCATGATGGCTCCAGGATGACCCAAGAGGGCTCCAAGAGCGCTCCCAAAACCCCCAAGAGCGTTTCAAGAGGGCCCCAACAGACGCCCAGGAGGCCCCAGGAGGCCCCAACAGGCGCCCAAGAGGCCTCCAAGAGGCTCCCAAGAGACCACTGCCAAAAAACTCTCCGAAGCACCCAAAGCGTTCTAAGAGGCGCCCGGGAACACCAAGAGGCCCACAAGGCGCTCCAAGAGGCCTCCACTGGGGGACCCTTCCTCTGTGTGTTGCCCACTTCCCTGGTCGAGGCACTTCCTCCAGACATCGTTTCTGGATGGGCTGGTGTTTTTTTTTGATCGCAAGCGTAGCGGACATGCCGAACGCCGTCAGCAAGTCGTAACACACGACCTACGGCCTGAATTGCGCAAGCCGGAGGGAGAAAGAGAGAGAGACAACGAGAGAAAACGAGAGAACCGCGCGGAGGAGACAACAGGAGGCGGGCCTCGCTGCCGCTCAGAAGTGCGCCTTCGTTAGGGGGGTGAACCGCCAGCGGGCTGCAACGCCAAAATGGCGGGAGGGGGAATTCAGGTTGAGCGACTCCGCGAACATGCCATTGAGTAGGCGCACAACGAAGAGCAGGCGCCAAGGACCAACGGGCACACCGTCACATGGATAGCGAAAGCCCTCCACGCGTATCCAGCCGTCAGCCAGCTCACATGCAGGCGCTCGACGGACCAGAGTCCAGATCGCCAGACACCGTCAAAGACTGACTGGTGGGGTTACTTTTTGTCGCAGCCGCAGGCGAGGGCGCCAGCGGCGAGTCAGGTCCGAGCGGGCCGCGCAAGAGCCGAATTGACTGGTGGGGTTACGAGAGGCGTCTAGAATTCCCCCACACGTCGACCAGAGCACGCACCATACTGGGGATAGAGATTGAGACTACACCAATTACAGACCTCCCGTAACCAACAACAGCTAAGATATGCACTTTCATGGAAGTGTACAGCACATGCGTCATGTATACGACCCCGCGTCACCGACGTCCGACCTCTCGCCATCGACATCTGCAATGCCTAGTTCGCCAATGGTCACAAGGACGATGGCTCATGAACAACAACCTGTCCTTTCCCACCACTGACCCCTCACAATGCTTGCGCGTCTGTGCTCCTCCGATTGGGTGCTCACTACTGCTGCGGTCCACACGCTTCACCGTGTACCCTTCCCATTTATCCTTTATACTTGATGCCACTGTTGAATACTTACTGCCCCGCATATTATAGCTAACCTTACCAGAGTGGGGGCTCGGTGGGAAGGAAGTGTTGTTTGGAGAGGTGGATATGGAGCTGGGAGGTGGAAACTATTACATCGCTCCCGCGATCGCCGAGGAATTCGCCCCGCCACGGCAACACACGTATTGTTACACTTGCATGTACCTACACCTAATCGCGTCGTCTCACCCGTGTCATGCTTCACTTCCTCACCCGTACTGCTCATACGCATGACCTCCTCCAGGAGACTCGTGCAACAACGACCTTCACGCGATGGCCTTACGTTCAACGAGGGTGGGTTGAATAAGGTGATGGGTCTGAGGATATTGGTGGGTACGGAAGGCCCGCGCACCTTGGGTCCCTGTGGATGGGCCCTCCCTACCTAGGGACCCCGCACCACCCAAGGAGCATAGCCATACCTATTGTCATGTGTCAGTTGAAAACGACACAAAGCCCTGCTCTGCCCACACTTCCAACGGCATTCCAGACATCAGCCGCTCTATTGCAATACCTTGCAATGGGCGTGGGCGGGCGAACGGGTTGCGGGGAAGTTGTTTGGGTAG